GGTTGTTTGCTGACTCCGCTGTGCAGCAGGATCGCTTTCGCATCCGTTACGGGCCACTGGTTGGCCCTGCCATTCCTTTAGTCACTGCTGGGCTTGGACAAGGTGGCCGTTGCGCTGTTCATCTTTTTGTCGCCTTGGCCAGAGGCATCCCGGACCAGCTGCGCCAGAGTGTCATTGGTGTCTCTCTTGGCACCTCTCCAGCCCTGTTGGATGATAGACTACGGCTGCACAACAGATTGTCTTTGAAGTTAATATCGCACCCCTCTTGGTTCAGGCATGTCGTGAAACTGTAAACTGCCCCACTGGCACATCACACCAACTGCTTCGCTCCACGAATTTGGAAACAGCCTTGGTTGCCTGGGACGTCCTTGCCACCCACTCCTCGCTAACCTTTCCATTTGTTGATTTTCATTTGGTGGAAAGTGGAAAGTTCTGTTTTACATGGCGCTGAACCCCTGGCTAGTGGAGCAGTGGGGTGGCTGCAAGTGTCAAAACGTCTCAATGCGGAGACTATAGGGCTTTGAAAACAATTTTGGGTATTGAGGGGGCTTTCTTTGGCGCAGGGGGCTATGCCCGTGTCTTGTGTGCCTTAGGAATTGACTTACGTCTCGCAACCAAGGTGGCTTTGCGAATCTTATCTGCCAGGGCTAGGTTGCTTATTGGGCCCAATGATAGTGCCATTCCTGGCATCCTAGAAGGAGTACGGCGAGTGCCCGGAGCAACGTGGTTAGATGATTCCTTGGCATTGGAGCACAGATTTGGTATTTCTGAGGACTTCCTTGAGTTTGCTCAGCAAGTGACTCAGCCGATCCCCATCAATCCAAAATCACGCCTTTGGATACGGACGGCCGTACTTCCCAATCTTCTGCAATTTGATCGCGACTGGCTTGCAACGCAAGAGCAAAACTTTCTTCCTTGGCTTCATGATGTTGACGTGGTGAAGAAAGTCCTGATGTTGCTTGCGTCAGCCCTCTGGAGCAAGCGTGAGTGGCTCTACACTCGAGCCTGGTACCTCTCCCGCCTTTCTGGGTGGGCAAAGGTTTGACATGGATCTCAATTGTCCTTACTGCAACCACCCGCTCACCTTGGAATCTGCTCCATCGGTGCGCAGCCGTGGTCTCCCATGCCTTGCGCTGGGAGTGGTGGCTTGAACCGGTGCTTGAGTTGGAGCCTTTACATCAAAGGATCCTCCACGTTGGACGCTGTACTGCTCAGGTTCATGCGGATTTGCAAACATGTGCAACAGTTCCACTTCCCACTGCCGTAACTTTACTTGGCTTCTCATGTGTGTTAATCACCTGTCCATGTTTTTTCAAAGTCAATCTTCATCTCCACCACTCCGGCCGATTCGGCGCAAGTGGGGAGATTGATGCGGGGCACTACCTGACCTGTCCCACCCCAGCCGCCCGCCGTAGGGCATTAACAGAGCCTAACCGTAAACATTCCAAATACAACACATGGTCTTCTGAGTCGTTCCGCCTGTTCCCTATATACATTGGCCAAATATGTTAGCCAGCTGACCAGTTTCAGGACTTGTCATGCCCCTTCGTTTGCTCCAGCCTCGTGAAATTCTATCTCAAACTATTAGCTCAAGCTATTCGGCCCAACTGTACTTTGCACAAAAGGAGTCAAACAAAATGCCCGAGCAAACAACATGGAACCTGAGAATTGCCCTGTGGAAGCTCATTTTCGGAATACCAACCCAGACTGCGACCTACTAGGAGATTAGGAGCTACTAGGAGCAAAGGGCATCGCTACGAACGGAGTAAGGGCGCTACGTTCGGGGCTCCTGGGCATCGCTACTAGGAGCATTCTCACTACTAGGAACAATAAGCTACTGGGGGCACGGGGAGGGAGCCGCTGCGAAGGACCGGAAGCGACTCAACACGCCTCGCCCAAACGCCCCTGTTCCTGGCCGTCGGAGACGCCGTCGACATGGGCGAGGGAGGGGTATACGGTCCCCATCAAGGGAGCTATCATAGAGAGACTCCATAACACGACTGCGAACTGGAAGATCAGCCGCCTCATGTAGGACCCCCAGGTGCGTAACCCCTTTTCAAACGGGTACCGTTTAGGATATGATGGCCTCCAACAGGTCAACTTCAGTTGGAGCTATCGTAAAGGAGGTTTTTGTCTGTTCGGTGTGAAAAAGCCTCGGTACCGACACTGCACGCTTGCGTTTTGGAATCGGACAAGGACCTGCCTTGCAAACTTGCTGGCAAGCGTGTCAGTGTGAAGATGAATGACATATCAATAGAGAATGCATGAGAATGCCAAAACAATCCAAAACGTATCAGTATTTAGTATTCTGCCCAGTGAATGAATGACTACAAAAGATTGGTCTTGACCCGATTTCAGGAACTGCTAAGTATACTACTAAGTATGCCATATATATATATAACGTCTTTGGACCCCTGGGATTGGCAATAGTCGACTATAATTGGAGACGCGGATTTCTATTTTGCTCACCTTCAACAAAGACCCAAACTCCTCGGTTTCTCAAAGTGTTCGCATCATCTCAGCAGTTGCCCACTTGCCCAGTTGCCGACTGATGTGTTTGGAGCCAACAAATAGGCAGCACCTCTCCACGTTGGAATGCCGTCCCAAAACCACTTAGCCAATCCAAAACCATGTTTCAAGACCATTCCAAATACCAACCGCCAAGATCTACTAGGACCGTTCTTGACGCGAAACAAAACATCATGTGTTTGGCCAGCTTGGCTTTCTTGGGTTTCTTGGGCTTTCTTGGGCTCGCCCAGTCACATGTGTTCGTCCCCCAAAAGGTCAGGCGAGAGCTCTCGTGCCCCAGAGGCCTCCAGGCTCTCCCGTAAGGCTCGTGCTAAGTCTTGGTCTTCCTGACAGGAGCCGGTCGGACCGGTTGGAGGCACCGGCCATGACCAAACAACATGAAGCAAAGGGCCATGAGCGCCTGGTTCAAACCAAAGGGACGAAGCAAATGAAGCATGAGAGGGCTTCCTCACGTGATTCCCATGTTCACAGAAATTAGGATGATTTTGGAAGCTCTCCAAAATGCTTTGTCTTCAAGAGGTGCAAAGGAATTCAACGTGACGGGCCTAGAAAACTCCTAAGCTTGATGTTCGGATTCACCACGCAATCTTCCACAACAAACCAACGAGAGGGGTCACCAAGTGTCCATCCTCTAGCTCTAGTCAGAACAGTTTATGACCTCAGGACAACGACTGGACCGCGCTTTTTACCACGTCGCTGGGTCCGCACCGCACCTCGGTCCACCGAGTCCGAACGGGGTCGGTCATCGGACTCACCTCCGGAGGTGGTGGAGCAGTGACCGTTCCGACATGGCTCTGGTAACCTGCGGCGAGGACCAGATTAGGCGCGAAGAAACCACAGACGTTGGGACAGGACAAATTGTGGGGCCCTCATCCACACTTGGAATTAACTCACATGCCATGGTCGTATGGCATTCCCAACAGGTGTTCCTCAGGGTCGGCATTGCCTCACTACTGTATTAATACAGATTCCACTGGCTTTAGGTTCACTGCTTTCACTGGCTTTGGGTCGCAGGCTTTGGCGGGCCTTCCAACAGCTCATGCCTGCACTGCAACACGGCAATTTGGTTTTTCTGGACCCAAATATCCCAAGGCCGCCAGGGTATGTCTTCTTCCTGCCGCTCACCTTGCACCTTCAGGCTTGATATCCAACAGCCTCTACTGCGTTCTGTGCCTTCGCCCCACAGCATGTCTTGCTCCCTTGCAGTGTCTGACCTAATTGAAAAAGGTGTTTCTGATATCTTTGGATCACCAAAAGGTCAGATTCCTTACCAATTTGGCCAAAGAGTTTCAATGATTCAACCCAAACACTCCATGTGTATGCCGGTATGCCATATTTGCCGATCAGTTGGGTTGATTTTACGGGTCAATGTAGGCACACATACCATACATGGAGCGTCTGGGTAATGGTGCAGTGTCAACTAACCAATTCCGACCAACTGAGTCACATGCGATTCGTTGATTGATTCCATGAGAGCTCTGGGAGTCGGTGTGCAAACCCACTCTGCCTGACTCACTTGTTTTATCGTGTTTTCCTTTCTTAAACAACCCCTTTTTGGAACTCCTGGACCAATCGTGCCTGTGGATACCACTCCTTAAGGACACGTAAAATCCAAGAACCATTGGGGCACGCTTCAGATGCGGCTGGTGGACAAATGGCTGTTTCCTTTCGAGTGGTCGAATTCACCGGAACAGTCCCCCCAACTCCGGTGTTTTCGGGTGAATGGCTCGATGCACACACTTGGTGCCCACACTCGCTTCGATGGCTCGAGCCAGTTCTGGATCCTGAAGCGGATTACGGGACTCCGACATCCGAAACAAGGACCGTCGGACCTTCCAGTTCTGGATCTGTATATATTTATTGTGTGAGCGATGCTGAAAACGATTGTATGGTTCTTCATGTGCTGGTACAATATCTTTTTGCCATGTTTTCTCTGAAATCTTTGAGCATATTCCCCATATAACATATGTGTATCCTGCTGAAGTGAACCTGTCGAAAGTTGCTCATATATAACAATATTATAGAGAGAGAAAGAGAAACCGCTGATGTTCCACAATGTTCCCACTGACCCGCTAACCGCAGTGATTTGTCGGAACCGCAGATTCCCGGTTGCCAGCCATATTTGCTCTGATGCAGGGGGAAATGCCAAAGCAGCGAGGCGGAGTCAGAATTTAGGATTTGGTTGACGAAATGATCGTTCGTGGTTCTGATGGAAGAAAAAAAGCATGCTTCTCCTCCACCCAAGCTCAGAATATACGAAGTATAGGCTGGAAGTTAATTTCTTCCCCTCACGCAATCGAAGAACAACTAAAACATATATACTGTAATTGAAACTGACAAAAATCAAACAACTATGACCATTCTTGACATCTGAACCCCAACAAATCTCCATTCAGGCTGCTCCGGGCCTCTCCAATCCCCCCAACTGAGCCGAGGCACATCAATCCCCAACTCTGCAGCTAAAGTTGGATCTAAGCCATCCTGCGCAGCCCAGGCGGAGGGGTGGCGCAGGTTCCAAACCTTTGACGCATTTGGATGTGGCGAAAACGATCTGACTCGAGATCCAACTGTGGACACTCCATGCGATCATCTTCTGAAAAGTGGGTCGATTCAAATGAAGCATGGTAGGTGGACATCACTGCTTGATCTGTTGCTTTCCGTGGCCATTTCTGCAGGAACGTATATATAAGGAAAGGCCCTTGCAGCAAGTTCTTGTACCCAACGCAGGATGTTGAGGGACCACACCCAATTTGGTACCAGGAAAGACGTACACCGACGAGCGGGGATGTTCCAATTACCTCCACCAGCAACATCTGAGAAAGGTCTTCTATTCGATCTGCTGGAGCTAGCCGGATGTCCTGCAGCAAGGGACTTAAGAGTACATCCAAGCTGATGCTTTGGTTGAAGCAATTGGACGACCTCTGTCCAGGTGGAGATGAATGAACATGGGGGGTAACGACCAGAACGAATTGATTTCTTGGGGTTCTGTCGGAACTGTCCGCTAAACATGTCCACAGGCGTAGCGCGGGAGCTGTTCGCACGACCCACTCCCCCACACCCCAGCCGCCATCGCTGCCGGGGTTCTATGTTGTACTGGGTGCAGACTCTGCGCGAAGTTTATGCTAAATGTGGCTAAAGAACTCACTGCTCATTTACTCCTGCGCATCCAGCTACACTACATCGTCAATTTTTGTCAAATGTTTTGTTGCCTCTCCTTTCACCCGCCCCCAACACGTTTGAATCAAATGTATGTGGATGCCAAGCGGGCATAATCATACTTAGGCTCCAGGGATGATATAATTGTAATCATATTAATCAGGGAACGTGCCTAGACTTTTGGGATTCACAGTCTGTGTGTTTTCAGTATAGCCCGTCATCAGCCCTCAATTTGTCACAACTCCGATGTGTCGAAGCTGCTCTTCGCAAGTTGGAAGTTTCACTGCACATGACTCTTCCAGGAATTCTGTCTGACTATAGAAAGCATGACGGTCTGAGCGGAATCGACACCAATTCTTTTCGTGATCAGCCGTTCCGTGAAGTACTTGCGCAAGTCATGAACAGAAGCAAGGATGCCTGCTATCTTTTGCTACACGGCGGGTCATGTCCAAGTGCTACCGCTGAAGGCCGCCATGTCCGGACGTCAAAGAGCTTTGCTTCCCGGAGCAGCTGTGTGTCCGAGCCGAAACGCCGGACGAACAGGCGATTCCCAGCCATCGGTGTAAAGCAAAGACCAGGAGCGCTTTTTCAGCTGTAAAAACCTTCACATGTTTGGTAAACAAATTGTAAAAGCTCTTTAAGGACGGGGTGCACTTTGTTTGGTATGCTTTGTGCACTTTGGTGATTCTGGTCCAATTTGGTGGATCAGAACCCAACTCAACTGTGGGGCAAGTATGAACGGAATAGAATTCCAAAAGAAAACCTAACCATGGAAGTTGAAGAGACCCACTTGGAAGAGGAGAAAAAACGTATGTCCGATGTATAGAAGATTCATTCCTTAAGTATCCACCATGAAATGGTGCTCCAAAAAGGCTTCGAATGTCCCAGTTTCAGACATGGGGAGCTCGGACGGAGACCTGGCGCAGCGTTTTGATATTTGCATTTGGTAAAGCTAAAGTGTTATCATTGACCTTGAAATATTAATGAAAAACACTGTTCAGCGAGAGAAGACTGCTGGTTCGATGACGGTGAAGACTGGGATGCTCATAGGGCTCGGGGTCTCCGACAAAACTCGTTTCATCACGGCTACTCCTAGGCATTCGTCACCACTGCGGTGGCAAATGCATCACAAAAGACTTGCTCTTCCTGCTGTCCTTCGTCCTTCCTTTCAACCCGATATTTGCATGGTTGCATGGCTTGAGCTCTATGGTTTGTGCAGCAGAGTTCTGGTGAGTGCAGCTTTGTGACGATGGATTTGAGGAATGTCGCTTCCGGCGTATGCATTCCGATATGTCGAACATATGAACGCTCACATGTTCTTGGTGCGAGGGCACCTGATTGATCGCATGTGCGTAGGTCCTTTCAACCCAATTGATGATTTTGTTTGATCAGCTCTGAGGTTTATGTTGCAAAGCTCTGGTGAGCAGAGCAAAGGAATAACAAAACGCACTGAGCACAAACAGTGAACCGTTCTGCTCTGTGCACCTGTATAACTTTGATTGAAATGCTAAAACTGAGCCTGGGCCGAGACTAGGAAACAGGAGCGATAGTGAAACGGCAGGGACACAGCAATAGCATCTTGAGGCCATCAGGCATCTTGGATGTCCATCACATCAAACAAGGAAAACAAACGCCGAGCCCCACCGCCCACATTGCCGCCGAGCCCTTTCTGCGCCGAGCCCCACCGTCAGCGGCGCCGAATCTCCACCTCGGCGCTCGCAATTGCATCGCGAGGGCGACCGGATGGCCAAATGCGAGGAGAAGTACATGGATAATTGAGATGATCGTATGTAATTTCACACACGTTGGATATATATATATATTGTGAATTTCGAACCTTTCGGTCACTGAGGAACCAGTCTTGACCCACTCAGGTGTGTTCACGTCCGAAGCCACGAGTGTGCGAGGCCGCAAGGGTGGTGTAGGGTGGGTCACCCGTGACCTGAGCCATAGAAGCAGTGAGGACACTGCAGGGCGAGGCGCCCGACCGTTCGTACCAACCTTCAGGTGAGCTGTGAGTGGAAAACGCACACGGCTGTGCGAGGGAAGGAGGACCTTTTGTTGCTACCTTTGTGTCAATCACATTGGTAGCGGAGCTACCGCTAAAGCTCCAGACAACACCTGACCCTTGTGCTTGGTTGTTCTTGACTGCGTGGTTGAGTCGGTGAATACGTTGTTTGGCCGCAAGGCAGTCGACAGGTTGCACATTGTCTTGGTGGTGTTGTCACAGAGTTGTTGAGCTGCGGTTTCCAGGGAGGAAACAGCCCAATGCCACCGGAAGGTGATTCAGCTGGCTCCAGTTCCTCCACAGGAGGTTTGAGCAATCTCCCACGGAGCCAGGTTCCATCTTTCAAGCCTGGTGAGACGGACCTCACTGAAAGGTCACGGAAAGTAGAGTTCCTGGCATCACTATGGCCTCCAGAACAACTACACCTGCTTGCCCCACGAGTTGCATTGCAATGTGAGGGATCAGCCTTTCAGAGAGTTGCCAGACTGGACCCAAAGAAGCTGCGTGTTGGAAACTTGGAGGGAGTGAAGGCCATCGTGGAGGCCCTTGGAGGGATTTGGGGAAAATCCCGATTGGAGGACAAGTTTGAAAGGTTTGAGCGTGCAATCTACAGCACGGTCCAAAGAGCCGACGAGACCCATGAGAGCTATCTAGCTCGGCACGATCATCAATTCGAAGAGTTGCTGAGCATGAAGGTCGGCATGGATGAGTTTCGTGCATACATCTTGCTTCGCAACTCAGCCCTGAGCTCAGAAGACAAGAAGAGACTGATTGTTGAATCGCAGGGTTCACTGGAGTACAGAGAGGTGGTATCCAATCTGAAGCTCCTGATTCTTCCATGAGGTCCACTCCAGCGGAAAGCAGAACAATCCAAGGACCAAAACCTATGAGGCCAATGCGTTCATTGCCCAAGAAGCTGATGGTCACGACCAAGCACCCGACGAGCCCACCTACAATCTCGATGATTGGACCGAGGAAGAATGGATTGAGAGTCTTGCAAATGATGGTGACGAGGACGCCGCCATGATCATGGAGTATGAATCCACAATGTTGGATGCAGTGCAAGACAACGAAGATCTAGCATTGACACAATCATCATACATGGATGCCCGTCGCCGCCTGTCAGAGCGCTTCAAAAGCCGTGGGTTCTGGCCAACAAGTCAGAACAAAGGCAAAGGAAAAGGGAAAGGGGGTGAAAAAGGAAAGCGATCCCCCTACTCCTTAAAGTTTTCTGGCAATAGAAAGAGCCTCCAGCAGAGGATCATGGAGAGCAGCTGCAGGATTTGTGGCCGAAAAGGCCATTGGAAGGCTGAATGCCCGCAACGTGGATCTCAGTCGGTCCCATCGACAGCTGTTGCTCCTACACTGGTGACAGTGAATGATGAGCAGGACGCGCTGCCACTGGAGTTCATGGATTTGCCAGAGCTGACCAAAGAGACGCTCAACGCCACTCAAGAGAATACGAAACAAGTTTTGTGTGTTTGTGAATCAAGGGACACCGGTGTTCTGAGGGGTTTGTGGGAGACCAATGAAGGGGAAATCATTGATTTAGCCCACAAAGGGAAAATGATCACCGAGTGTGAGAATTTTGATGTCAGGACTAGCTTGCCAGAGAGTGCGTTTGCTAGCACCGCCCAATCACCTGAAGCCAAGTCGATGCATGACACCGAAGCCAGTGCATTCTCGAGCTTTTCAACTCGCGATTCCCTGGGAATCGTAGATACAGGTGCTACTAAGACCGTCATAGGAAGCGGTTTCGTAGCCAATCTCCTAGCCGCACTAAGGCCAGAGGTTCGGAAGCAGGTCCAAAGGTGTCGTTGTTCAGTGGTTTTTCGGTTTGGGAATCAAGGGACACTTGAAAGCAAGCATGCACTCGTTGTCCCAATCGGACCGCTGAAGCTCAAGATTGCCATAGTGCCAGGCCATACACCTTTCCTGCTGTCGAATACTCTGCTCCGAGCCATCGGGTGAAGTGATCAAAAGCACTCTCTTGAAGCGCAATATTCCAATTCAGCTGAATGCCAAGGGTTTGTTTTTAGTTGATCTAAATGATCTGATCACACCCACCAGTCAAGATGCCGAAGCTGAACCTGCCGAGACCTTCACCACTTTGAATTGCAAAAGCTTGCCAAGTGTCTCTGTCCAGAAGCCTGGACAAGTGCAGTCGGAAACCAAGACCATGATGAAACAGAACGTTCAGGTGAGGACAGGTCTTGTAACAAGCAGAATCCAACAGTTCGAAGCCGCCATACCCGAATCAACAAAGACCCATACGAACACAAAGAAACCAAACGAACGTCCGAGTGTTCGCGGGGGTGAGAAAGTCTCATTCGAATCGGTTCCAGGGGGGGTCCAGTCCGGTGTCATCCGTTTTGGGTTCAAGACCGAATCTGTGCAATCACACACGTGTGACCATCCCATTCGTTCACCTGTGCCGCATCACTATCATGCCGACCTCCGAAGCAGCCGCTCTGAGTGCCCGCTTGGCACGTGTCATGGGGGAAGCAAAGAAGGAAGAAGCCCTCGATCAGCTCGAAGCCTTCAAGGTCCTATCACTGGACGAAATGGGCCAAGCCAAGATCGATTTCGGATCAGCCCATCTCGGTCGGACCTACTCGGAGATGTGGGAAAAGGAGGGCAAGTATGTGA